GATGAAAGGATAGAAATTAACCCAAATTTGAGGAGAAAATTAAGGCATAATGAAAGTAGAGAAATGATGAAAGGCAACGATAAACAAAAGCAAGTTCAGTGTTGTTAACATTTGGGTTAATGAGGCCTTACCAACTAAAATTTCATCCAGAAAGTGGGTTTGGAGATCAAACCAGCTATTCAGGATAGATATAAAACTGAAAAGTCTTGACATGCAAAAGCACTATATATGAGGAGATCAATTTAAGAGACAAAGTGCTCAGACAAGAAAGCCCAGGTGGAAGCCAGGGCAACCAAAACGTGTTTTATAAAGATCCGATTATCTGGCACAGGGGCCTCATTGGAGAAAGTTAGTGTAAAGGGGATGTGAACTGTGGACAGTAGTGGTCTTTTGAGAGACTCAGTTATTAAGGTCAATCTGAGGGGAACACAAACATTGTTGTAGATGAAGGGAGAAATATGACCAATATAACACACAATCACACATCCATGATAGTATAGGAATCCTTAGGAGATACTGGTGAAAGTTAAGGTGTAAGAAAATTAATAAGTATGCTAAGAAGCTTAGTGAGAAAGGAAAGTTGTGGGAAATTTTTAACAGCCAAAAGCAAGTAATAAAAGTCGAATTAAATATAGAACTTATTCACTGTCAGAAATATACTAAGAATTTATAATCTTCTTTAACTGTTACATCTCTCCTTTCTCCCATTTTTCCCTTTCTTTCATTCTTTTTTTTCTCTTTTTCTCTCATCCTCTTTCTTTTTATTATGATGGTTGGAATTATAAGAAGGTAGAAAACTTATTAACATTTCTCTCTTCTAAGAATTCACAGAAAATAAATTTTAGTATCATAAAATGGAGAAGAAAATGTGGTCATAGTATTTTTTTTAAAGATAGACTTTATTGAGAGAGAGAGAGAGAGAGAGAGAGAGAGAGAGAGAGAGAGAATTTTTCTATATTTATTTTTTAGTTCTTGGCAGACACAACATCTTTATTTTATTTTTATGTGGTGCTGAGGATCGAACCCAGTGCCCTGTACATGCCAGGCAAGTGCCCTACCGCTTGAACCACATCCCCAGCTGGTGGTCATAGTATTAAAAAAAAAAAAAAACTTTCTTTTTATTGTCTTCAGGAACACTGGGTGTTCAAATGACATAGCCAAAGAACCTTCTATCTTTTGGAAAGAAAGAACCATATGAAAGATAGTTTGTGACACATTATCGTCCAAAGAAAAAGGACTGCATCAATAATTATATATCAAGTAAATTTTATATGAATATGTGAATAATTTTTAAAGATATTTATATTTATATAAATACATTTATATAAATATAAATATAAATTTATATTATATTTGTATTTCTTCAGAATGACAAGAAATGTAAATCAAATACTTGAGGTACAGTTTATAAGGTTAGATAATATTTTTCTGCAGATATTTTTGGAACATGTATTTAACAATTGAACAACTCCAAATTCCAGAGAATAAGTTATTTTGAATTATATTTCAGGTAGGTTTAGTCATATTTACCAAACATTTCTCCTTGCTTAAGGACTGAATACTTTGAATTTCCCCTTCTCTCTGTTAAATTAATCATTGGTCATTTTCAGTGTGCTTAGACTAGGTACCAATTATACTTTTGCTTCTCTGGTAAAAATTTCTTCCAAAAGATCAGGTCCTTTATCAGAGTCTCAAGCCAGCACATTATATGATGCTGGGAGAAAGTGACAATTTAACTTAGCAATTATTCAGAAACTATCTCTTTCAATTGATCACTTCATTACTTCCTGAGGATATCCAGGACACTCACTTCCTTTTTTGTAACATTTATTCATCTGTTTCATCCACCCCATTCCACCTGTTTCCCAGCCTTTTCCCCATCTCTACGTATTGAAAAGATGCTTTCATTCAAATGCATTCTTTTAAGAAGTGTTTTCTATTATCCCATCTTTTTGTTGTTGTTGTTGTTATTGTTGTTTCCTATAATACTCTGCGTGCTTTATCCTATAGTACTTGGATGTTTTCCTATAACTGCATCATCTTTTTTCATGACCTCATTATCTGTTGCCTGATAATGAGAAACATGCTATTTTTCTGTCATTCCTTCTCTTTGTGTAACATGTGCAGGAATTCAGTGTATGCTTCTTGATCTGAACTGACTTCTCTCAATAAACTTTTATTCTTTGTTTACCATTGGAAGATATGGTTTATGTATTGCCATTTCTTCTTTTGGGGGCTTTTTTTGTGCTTAGTTGTTCTTTTCATAAGAAATTTCAAGCTTTTATTCTCAATATGACAACTGAAGAAAAAGAATAGTTTTCATAAATACTTTTCATTAGCAAATGATTGCAAAGTGCTTTTCAAATATAAAGTGCTATATTACATGTTGTGAAATGATATTCAAAATAATTGAAGTGGGGCACAATTACTTAGTGCAATAAAAAGAAAATATTAGATTTTAGGATACCATCTCCTTCATTCTGAACAACACTTTCCTCTAAATATAACATTCATATTTAATCAATTTAGAGACTTTAAGTAAAAATTCCTATATTCATTTATTTTATAAATATATGGTTGCATTACATTAGAATTTCTCCTATCTGGACTCTGTTTAAAATACACAGTGTTATAACAGTATTCATTCTTTAAGCCTTAAAATATTCTCATTTTGCCTAGACTAAATCATGCAAGTCAAATTAATTAGTTTTATGATTAAATGGATAGATTTAAAATTATATTGTTTTCAGTTATAAATTCTATTTTATGTCAAATATATCAATCCTATGTTTACTTCATTAAATCTAAGGCTATTGTAAAAAAAAATAAGCAAATAATACTCCAATTTAGTATTTCTGATTATTATATAGAAAAAGACAAATTGAAGCATGTTGTAAGGACCACAGTATCAGAAAGTATTGAAATAGATATCAAATATTAAATCATAGTTGTAAAACATGAGTATTTTTAATTAAAATTTTACTGAGTGAATGGTGCAATATGTGAATTGTCCAATGAACATCATTTATATTTTGATTCAGAACTATTTCATTTACCTTAAAAATGACAAGAGTAATAAATACCATGTGAAATTTACTGAAAATATTTTGAATAGGAAGCAAACCTATTTTTTAAATGGTGTTGCTAGAGTTATATTATCAAATCCGATGCTGTTAAAATTTGATCTATAAAATGTTTTTATTAGAAGATTCATCAAAATCATTTTTATGTCACTAACAATCGCTACTTGAACATTTATAAAGTTCAAAAAAAAGTTTTTTTGCTTTGTTTTAATTTGCTGCTCCCTGGTCAGTTTTTGAATTTTGTATTTTTTAGCAATTTTGAGACTGACTATATCTTCCTACAATGCCTGTTCAATATTTCATTCTACTTAATGAAAATACATAGACTATTTCAAACATACTTATTAACAAGTTTTTCAAAATACAAGATTGCCAGATTTACAAATAATACAATAAGATACATATTTAAATATGAATTTCAGGTAGGCAAAAAAATGCCTGTCAAGTCACTTAATTTTATGAGTAAGTGATTAGATCTAAACTTTTATTAATTTTGAAATGATTATTTTATTTAATATCAAATATTTCAATTCTGTGTTTACTTCATTAAATCTAAGCCTATTGTAAAAAATAAGCAAATAATTCTCCAAGATAGGATTTATCAATATCATGAAGAAAAAAACAAATTGAAGCATTTCTTAAAATTCATAATGTAGGAAAGTCTTGAAATAGGATATCATGCATTTCTCCCCTGTAATTTTGGGCATACTTAAACTACACACTCTTCATTGTTTTTCTAAAATTCAAATTTAACTTGAAATATTGTATTTCAGCTATCAACTCTATTCAAAAAATTTTTCTTATTCTAAGATCTTTATATTCTTCTTAGGTCTAGTTTAACAATACACATTTAGATTATTAAGAAATAACAGTCATAGGTGCTTTCAAGATTCATAACAACCTTAGAAATATTGCATTTATGACTACATGAAATTATAACACCCTTCAGGTATAGATCACACTGAAAAGAATGTTGGGGCTGTAACTTTCTTCACTCCTCAGTCATGGTATCTTACGACTCAACTTGTCTCTTTGTTCGATTCCATCTTTGGATTTTTTCACAATTCTCATTGTTCACAGACACACAATATGCTGTGTCAACTCCAGTACTTTATGCTACCCATATACCTAGAGGATTATTCCACCATCTAAATACATGCCATAGAATCTGAATCTAAATGCCTCACTCTCCACTTAATCTTTTCTTTAACTCACATCACTCACTTTCCCATTTCTGAAAGTGCCACCTGCTTTTAGAAGGCTACCAGAGAACTACCTTACTGCTTTAAAAATATGGTTAATTTTCAAAGTGTTCACATTTTCAAGTAATTCTCAGGAAAACATCCATCTTGTAACATTTGAGTATTATTGAAATGAATTAGTAAATCAAAATGGAAGTATTAGTTTGCTATTATTGTATTTATTTTATATTATTTCTTTAAGATTTCATTCTTAATTATTTGGAGAACTAAACTTATACTTCCTAAAAACGGTCTTACAAAAATATTTTCAATTCTACAATGCATAATTATTGAGAAAACTATACTTAAACTATGCTCTAAATTTGATACACAAACAAGCTTCTTTTGGCACTTGATAAGAAAAGGTTTCCCTAACTATAAACAACAGGTATATAGATATTTCAGTACATATGATCTACAATTGACAGTTAGATAATTGTCAATTGAAGATATTGATAAAAGAATGATGAATTGGCCAAAAAATTCATTTTTTTTTGGAAAACTTATCCTCTAATGATATAGATGATTAGCTCATAATTTTTGTGGCTCATAAGCCATTAAATGTTTTTAAAACATGCAAGCTTTAAAAACTCAGATTCCTATACTTGTTTAATTTGTGATTTTAGGATAAATCTGTATTTTAGTTTTACTAAAAGTGAAGTTTTAAAATATTTACTTGGCAGATGGAAATTTAATCCAAATTTCACTGCATGCAAGTTTTCTGGTAACAACCCTGTAGAATTGAAATACAGAAGTGAGCAATTTTGAATACCTTTGTGAATAATTTGTTAGCCACTATTTCAAAGCTTTCACATCTCCAATGTAAATTTAAAATGAATTTTGGTAAACACATTGAGGTTATGTGAACATTAATGCATTTTTAAACAGATAATCTTACCTTCCTGAATACAACATCAGTTGCTTGGAAGCAGGATGAGATATCAGTTTTGGAACTTACTCTGCAACAGTTCAAATTATATCACAAATGGCCACATTTAAAGTAATAAAAAAAAAACAGACTAAATGTTATGATTTTCTTGGAAATTGTATATTACCTAATAATTTCTAAATTTAATATTTATTTATTTGGATATCCATGTGGATCAATTTCAAACTTGGTTTGATTGCTATTCAGTTGATGACCCACATCCTTAATGTAGAAAATTAAACTTAAAAATTGTTTATTCCATCAGTTATATTCCAGCATTGGCTTTTTTTACCATTTTCAGTGGTCTAAAATATATTTCATCAGGTGAAATTAAACAAGAGGGGAGCGTTTATTCAAGAATAATACAATAGGAGAGATAGATTGAATTCAATCTCTCTAAAATAAAGGAAACTAAGGTGAACTAGTGTAAAATAATAAGTGAAAGAGGGATATAAAGATGATTAGGTTATCTGTGTTTGCTAACAAAGTTATCAAGATAGTTAGGCTCCTAATTGAGCCCAAAGAGACCTGGGAGGTAGGAATCAATCTCCTCCAATGGTTCTACTTCAAATGATGTCTTAAGAAAGACCTGCCTGGGATATATTACTCAAAAGATGCTGGGAGAAATTTAATCTCAAACCAGACAGATAAAGACTGTAGATTTCTTAAAGTAGATGCTCTAAGAAAAGGAAGGTCAGGGGCCAAATCAGGAAGAAGCTGTGTAAAGTTTAGCTTAAATGAGAAGAACCTTAGACCATTTTGCCACATCACAAAAAAAAAAAAAGAAAGAAAAAAAAAGAAAAAGAAATCCTAGCAATCCACTGAGTTAGAAACCCTTAGTTGGCCTGCCACATTGTAAATATTTTTTGTCTCTGTATGTGAAACATGACAAACTTATTACATATAGGATGAAAGAAAGGAGATAATTTGACAAAAGATCTTCAGTTTTTTTCTAATTGAGACTACATTTTTGATTATTATCCTTTCATAGCAACTAGAAAATTAATTTTATCAAAATATCTCTAAAAGATCATACATATTTTATGTATCTCATGATTTATATAACAGTGTTCCTTGGAATAAATAGATTCTTCATATTGTTCTTTGTTCTAATGCTGCTCAGACCTATCTTAGCTCCTCATTCGATTCTCAACTTCTAGCAATTTCTATTGTAGTGATACTTAAACACTAACATGGATCAACTTCCAGAAAACATTTCTAGTATTTATTTTTATATTTGCTGAAGCTATAACTTTAGACCTTACTTTATATAATTTTTCTTATCACATTTCTTACCTATAATAGTTTGACATTTCATGTTCGTGAATAATAGTCAAAACTTAATTTAAGTAATTAATACTGCCATCATCTCTATGAATAGGATTAGCCACATTTTACAGATGAGAATATTTAGGCAGAGTGGTTGACTAACTTTCTCAAGGTCACACACTCTTCCATTCTTCATAGGAGACTGAAGATGAACTTGTGCTAAGGTATCACCTGAAAAGACTCAGAGCTACCTCTGAAAAAGTGTCACTGTTCTCCCATGAAGAACTTTTCTTCTGATCAGGAACTTTCCATAACCAGAGTTCCTTTATTAATGCATATATGTTCTGCATTATACAATTTATTATTCCTATTCTGTTGATGATCCAGCCTTTGCTTTGTAGACCATGTATTGATGATTTTATTCGAGTTTTTGTTTCTGCTTCTATGGAATTTTTTGTTATTTTCATTTCTTTTCCTTCCTTTTCATTTTGTCTGCTAGAATCTAATCTCTAGACAATTCATGCCATGATTTGTGAATGATAATCAGGTATAAAGTTTCACTAGCTGTGTTGAACCATTTTCTATCTCTATTTTCTATTATGTCAAAATTTGAGTAACATCACCCGTTAGCCCTGTAACCTACATGTGTGCTACCTGACAGGTCTTCCTGCAGCTCCAAAGAGGCCCTAGTGCAATCACAAAACCATATGTGGCTTTTTTTCTTTTTTATAAGCTCAAACATCTAGTGAAGGCAAAATAACTGGTGGATAGGAGAAATAATTTTTGATGTTGTTTTATAGGAATGTGTGAGAGATTCCTTCCTCTCCTTCTTTGATCCCCTTTATAATCCTGTCTCAGTTTTGTTCCTTTTCATCCAGAGGTATTCTCTTGCCACCTGATCTCTTTCTTCATTCGCCTCACATCCCCATAAGCTCAGCTTCTGCTGAGACACATTTACATATCTCATACTCATCCTTTCGGGGCTCACTTTGTGTTCCAATGATGTCAGTTATATGTTTCTCTTCGCCCAGCATTGGAGGCTTCACTGTACTGTTGGTGCTTAGCACAGCACAGATCACGGCAAAATTAATTGACTGCTTGCTGAATGAATGACTACAGTGAGTATTCTAAATATATCAGGAAAAGGTATAAACAGACCAACTATTGAAAGCTAAAGTAGGGAGTTCAGTAAAACAACTGAAATGATACACAGAGGACAAAGTTTAATTTTAGTCATTAACTGTAAGTTTATTCAACAAATATATATATATATATATATATGCCATTAACTGTGTGCCAGGCACTAATGTATCACTATGAATACAACAATGAATGAAACACAGCCTTTAGCTTCAAGACACATTATGCCGGTTGAAGGCAAAGACAAGTATACATGCAATATTGATAAAGTGTGTTGATATGGTGGAAAGCAATGAAGATAAGTCTTATAAAATCCTGGACACCAAAGAAGAATAAGCATTCTAATAGCTCAGATATGACTTATGATCGGCAATTAAAGGTGCTGCATTTCATGACATATGAGGGTTCTAAGGAAGAAAACAAAACAAAACGAAAATATATGCAAAGGTCTACAGACAGGATGGAATGATACATTCAATGAAATTGTAAATAATTCAGTATAGTTAAAAATGAAAAAAAAATATGGCATAGAGGAATACAACAGGAATCAGACCATTAAGAAATATATGGCATGAAGCCAGGTGCAGTGGTGCTCCTCTGTAATCCTAGTGGCTCAGGAGGCTGAGACAGGAGGATTTTGAGTTCAAACCAGCCTGATCAATATCAAGGTGCTAAGTAACTCAGTGAGAACCTGTCTCTAAATAAAATACAAAATAGGGCTGGGGATGTGGCTCAGCAAGTTATCAAGTGCCCCTGAGTTTAATCCCTAGTCCCCCCCACCACCAAATAAAGGAAATATATGGCATGGAAGAATATTATTTATTTGCTGTATTTTTCCCCTTTATGTAATAGGGAATCACAGATGTTTTAAGTTGAGGACTGCCATGGTCAGGCTACTATTTTAGAAAGTCATTATCTCTGCACTGCAAAGATATCCAAATCAAGAAGCAGAGAAGAAAAACACTGTAGTAATGTAGATTAGAAGTTATGGACTCCTGAAATGGGAGAGTAAAGGTGAAAATAAAATTTTGAAATGTTCCTAATTAAGTATCTGGTATTTTGGAAAGAGTGGAGTCAAAGTATTTATGACTTAACAATTGTATCAATAGCCATTTCATACTAAGAGTACAGGAGAATATTCATGTTGAGTAGATGGATATGAGAAGTGATGAGTTCAGTTTCATAAATTCTGAGTTTGAAACACCTATGTGATGTACTAATATAGGTGAAGGCATTTGACTCAAAAGTGAATAGGACTCATGAAGCATTATGACATGAAAATATGTACTTGTAAGCTCCAATAATATAGATAATATGTGACTTTAGCAGGGTCTTAGAGTAGAACCTATGTAACATCAATATTTAAGGGGTAAGTAAAGAAAGAAAGTGAGAGGGTTGAGAGAAAAAGAATCATAGACCAATGTTTCTTAACTGGGGTTAGAAGGTGATATACTACCCCATATGATACATGTCAATGTCTGAAATAATTTTTTTCTGGTCATAACTGAAGCAAAAGATGCAGATAAAGTGTGCTACTGGCATCTAGTGGGTAGAGGCAAGAGATGGACCAAGGATGCTACTAAACATTATACAGTGCATAGTGTAATACTCCACAGCAAAGACATTTACAGTCCAATATGGCAACAGTACTGAAGCTCAGAAACTTAGACTAGAAAAATATAAAAATAAAATTAAATTAAAAATAGGAATATGAAGTATCCAAAAAAAAAGGTAAAGGCACCATTTGCAGGAAGAAACAGAGGATGAATATAGGCAGAATTTATTCAGTAAAAGGGGCATTGAGGAAAATAGTTTTAATGACTTGGTTGGAGTATCAGATAGCAGGAGACTGGGATGTGAGCGGATTATCAGAAAGTGAAAAAAGGCTTTCCCAGAAGATCGACTATGAAAGAGTAAGGGATAGGGAGGCAGTGGAGAGAAAAAAAGTCTAGGGATAAACCAAAGGAACATTTAAAAGCATGGCTTTTAAAAAATATCTGGATATTTCTGGACTTCTGAAAGCTTAAAGTATTAATGAATATGTTATGAATAGGGAAAAAAGGAACAAAATGGATATTATTGGAATAGGGAAATGAAGTCATGAGAAAAAAAAATGAATAGAAAATAGATAATGAACCTAGCCATGGAAGAGAAGTAATCAAACCTGTAAGACTATAGAGAAACATGATTTCTATTGAGAGAAATCAGGAAGATGATTATGAGTTCAGTCATTGTAGAACATTGAGACAGTAACCAAGGCAGACCTTGTCTTTGTGAATTTGGAGATGTAGTCATCTGCTGAAAGAGGGGGGTGAGTTATGAAATAGGAGATTTGATTATAATGTTGTGGGTTTACTCTATTCTTCCTACACAATGAGGGAGGACTCTGAGCAGGAAAACAGAAACCGGCATAATATCTACAGTGATGTGGTGGTCAAAGAATAATGAAATTCTGAAGGTAGAGGCTGTTTCATGTCCTTATCTTACAACTTTTACTAACGTTATCTGTGCAAAATTTCTTCTATCTTTATATGTCCTCCTGACCCCTGTTGGTCTCATGCATTTATTTTTTCATGATTGCTAATCGTTTTACCTGGCACTAGTGAATATCAGTATGCAAAGGGAAATGCTAGAACAGTGCAATAAACTATTTCCATGGATATTTGAGGAATAAATCAGGGTTTAGTGCTGAATCTCTGAAAGCAGTTGAATGTTAGCCATCCTCATAGATTTTCATTAATATTTCTGCCGAATTTCAATATGAAGTAATCATCTCAATTCACACAGACAATCCGCATTTCGAATGAGCCTAAAGAGTCGAAGCTTGAGTTTAACATGAATTCTCCTTATCTGGAAATACTGTTAGAAATGTTATTTGGATTATAAGCAGAGCTTTCATTTGTGGAGCCCATGGCAGTCCCTGTCATAAATATGCACATATCTTTGCCTCAACAAAGCTCTTCTAAGCACATTTCCTGGTACTTTTCTTATGCACTGGATTTGATTTGTTTTAGGGCATAATATAAATTCTCTGCTGTGATACACGATAAAGGAAACACTTCTTAAGAAATCCATGTTTGTTATGAGGCTATATGCATCACCAAGCCTCATGATTTATTAACTGCCTAAATAATCCCTTATCATTACTGTTTGTTTTTATACATAACCACTCATCGAGTACTCAGCATTGTAGCAACCGTTCTTTGCAATGTCTCTGCGTTCATGCATTTGCCCTCGGTTACTTTTGTGAATTCTTCTGGAAGATAATGATAGCATTTCACATTCCATACCACTAACCACACTACACGCCACAGAATACAAATGTGTATAAGGTGGTGGTTTCATTATCTTAGGGTCAGTAGAATTTCAAGAGCTTTAAAATTACCTCTATCAATGATGCAAGTGTCAGCTTAGTTTTAATAAATCTTTAGGAACAGCTCAAGTTACTTCTAGGACATCTTCCTATTTCCAGAAATACATCATTCAGCTGCCAAATCTACTATCATAGTCTCGCTAAGAATTTCCACTATTAAATGCATTGCTACACTCCTGGTACATGCAGTTGCTTTTTGATAACTTAAAAATAAGATTAACCCAAAGAATCCTTAGAGTCATTCCACATTTATGCTACTCATACTAAAAGAAAATATAGTACAAGCAAACAGAAGAAAAAATACACAAAAAATTGCATCTCTCGTAAACAACAAATGAGACAGTAGAATTCAGTACCTATTAGAATTCCATTACTAAACGTGGGCACAATTAAAACCCAGGCATTTGGCCAGGTGACTTTTTTAGAATAAATTAGAGTTGACAAGTAGTGCATCCAGCCAACCAATAACTACAATATAAAATTTCGCATAATATGCAGCCAAATTCAGATGTTTCTCTTTTAATTTCCAATAAACTTGACCATATGTTCCCTTGCAGAAAAACTAAATTATGGGGGATAGCTTTTGCTTTTCTTATTTTTCTGTAAACTGTTACCATTATTTAAAGCTGATGACATTTTTTTTAAGAATGAACTATGCACCATTCTCAAAAGATAATGTGGTATTTGAAAGACAAAATAGCTTCTTTGTGTACTAGAAAGTAAATAGCTTTTCAAAAAGTCATAAGCACCACAGGATACCAATCTCATCCCATAAATATCTATCATGTGACCTATTCCAATTGCACAGCACTTTATATAAACTTTGTCCTGATATTCCTATTCCAAAAGAAGAGGCTCAGCATGGGAGTCTGTAAATTATTTTCAAAGGAAAGGTGAAATGAGTCAATTTTGCTTAATCTTGATAATTTTTCAAGTATAAACAATGCATATGCCACAATACTAATTTTATATAAAAATTAAAATATTTAGGCTTTTAATAATTAAAAGCTATTTTTTCTTATACTTTAGGATTGAAAAATAACAGGTGAGACAAAAATATTGAGGAGATTGGAAACAAAGTTATTAAAAATAAATTAATGTAAAATATTAGTGATAATGCTGCAAATGGCCCAGGAGTGCACTAATAATGAGCTTTATAATCCTGGAATTCAAATTTAGACTATCCTACCTACCTAAGAAATAGGTGGTAGTGAAGGACAATAAGCCTTCATATGTGATCAGTGCTACTATTATATAATTCCACCATGGAATTACACACCAGAAAACATAAATTCTGGTAGGGAAAACAAAGTTGAAGAAAAAAAGATAGTTTATGCTGCAAGACTCCAGACCTCTGACTCTAATGGGCGAAACAGAAAAGAAAGAAGGGGTGAAGAGAGCCTGAAAAAAAGTGTGACACTAATGAATGTTCCTCTGGAGAAAAGAAAACATCACTAGTGAGAAATAAGTGACACCCAACATATAGGTGAATTTTCATTAGCATGTGTGAGCCATTTTAATGTATTTTGACTTCTGATCTGTTTGATATATCTTTGTCACCATATTTTGTGACTCATTTTTATTATGCTTTCTTTTTACATTTTGAATTACCCTCTTTTTTGTTGGGTCGGTCAAACTTTTGTGAAATTTATCATTTTGATCTTCTTGGATTGAAATGATAAATTTGTGTCTATTCTTTTATCAGAACCTCTTTATATTTTAATGCAAACATTTAAATTTCTATTCTTCTCATATAATCTAATTTGAAGATTATTGTAGCTTCCTTTCAAACTAAGAATTTTGTCACACCTCTCACTAGATGCTTCATAAAAGTCCTTGTTACTATTTTAGTTTATTTTCGTCTGACTTTTTTAAACATAATCCCCAAATTTTGTGAATATCTTTCCAATCTTTTTTTAATTAAACATACCCCATGATTAGTATTAATATAATCCAGTTGTCTAACCTTAAAGTTTACTTAGATTTACCATAATCTCCTACTGATTTCCATTTTTGCTCTCTTTTTCTACATCCCATTCCTTTTGGATTCTATTTCTGTCTAAAGGTCATATTATATTATTTTTTCATTGAGCTTCTGAAGACTTTAAAAGTTATGAATAATTATAATTCCAAATATAGACATTTTCTTTATAATTCAGTTACATATGATTAAATAAAGAAATATTCCTGCTTATCTGGTTTAAGGAACTTTTTCATTTTCTTCTGTAAATTGTAATTGCTAAGGCCATGTTTCTAGCAACTCATTCCTTTACAGATAGTCACACTTTTCCATGTTAACTTTTAGAATTTTATTTTTGTTCTTTTATTTACTTTCATCATGATTTGGCCATGTGTGGATTTACAAATATCATCCTTCACAGAACTAGGTGAAACTATCCAATTGACCAGTAATGCCTTTTTTTTTTTTTAATCTCTTGAATTTTCTCATCCATTAGCACGTTTAAAATTCTCTTATTTAATCTTTCTTAAACAAATGCTAATGGATGGTGGAAGTTCACACTTTCTCTTAAATGGAGAGCTCTTAAATGTCCTTTCCCGTTGTTATTTTTTTGTTTTTAAAAATACAACTATGTTATATTTTTTTTCTTTTCTTCATTCTCATAATACTTCATTATGTTTCTGAAGATGTTTTAAAGCATATAACTTCCTATAAAATTACTTTTCTATGGTACATTTGTACAGTGAAATATTAGTACTAAAAAAGTGAGCTATCAATCTTTGAAAAGATGTGGAGGAATGGTATTTGTATTACTAAGTAAAAGTAGTCAGTCTGAAAAGGCTATACACTGTCTGATTCTGATAAAAACTTTCTGAAAGCCACATAACTATGGAGAGAGCAATAAACAATGGTTGCCAGGAATTGGGAGAGTAGGTGGATGTGGCAGAGCATAGTTGATTTTTAGGGTAGTGACACTATTCTGTATGATGCCACAATAACATATACATGTCAATATAATTTGCAGAAACCCATGGAATATATAACATCAATAGTTAACACTAATATAAACTATGAACTTTAGATGTTAATGATGCATCAGTATAGTCTCATCATTTCTAACAAATAGACCACTCTGTGGGGGATGCCTGTTTTGGGAAAGGCTATGCTTGTGTGGTACAAGTAGTATATAGGAACTCTAATTTCTACTTACTTTTTTTTTTGAACTTAAGTCTGCTCTTAAAAATATTATAAATTAAGACTACTATTTTCAAAAATATGTGCAATTTTTTGAAGAAAACATAGGCATGCACTTGCTGCAAAATATTGGCAGCCTGCCCCAAAGTGTGATGATCTCTTGTACTACCCTCATACCGCCAGCATTTTTTGCAATAGAATTCCTCTTTTCTGTGGAATGATGTGAATTGATAAAGAAGTTCTTGGACTTATGTTTCACCCCAACTCAGAGAATCAGGAACCACTTAGTGATGGTGGGGTACTAAGGCTCTCCTCAAAAAAGGATAAACTTTGTGGTACCATTTACATCTCAGAACTCTGTAGGGGAATCGATAGTTATCACCTGAACTCACCTCTAGTTCAGCTTTCCCTCTTTACCTGCCCTGCTTTTCTCATGCTGTTAAAAGTTTCTGAGGAGATCTCTTATTTCATAAATATCTTTCCTTAGAGACCGCCCCCTCCCCCGCTTCAGAATCTGCTTTGGTTGTTAAGAGAACATTTATAATCTTGGAATGAAAGGAGCTTCTTAAGTATGACATAAAACTCCAAAGACTTAAAGGAGGATACAAATTAAATTGAACAAAAAATAATTAATATGAGAAAAGATAAAATAGGAAAGGCAGAGTACACACTGGGAGAAAATCTCTGCAATATATTTTACAGACACAGTATTAATATATAATTCTTGCAAAGTCAGAAGAAATGGAATTTTCCTATAGTTCTTAGTGATGTTAATTAGTACAAGATTTTTTGAGGCAGAATTAGGAAACTTCTTAATGAATAATAGAAAATCTATTAAGTTAAAGCTGGACCTTCCCATTAAAAATATAAAAATTTTAAAAATGAAGATATTTCCTCAAAAAGTCCAGTTAGTTATGTATTTGAAGACATATACAACAGTGCTGTTTATCATAGGAAAAATAAATCACAATTGAGTGTAATATTCAAATTTCAGAATTATTAATTATATATGCATATATTGAAATATTTGGAAAGAATAAGGTAAATATTAATATCTTAATATTAACCTCTCTTAAGAAACTATTAGCAATGAAAAAATTCTACGATATATGTGTGTGTGTGTGTGTGTATACATACATACATACATACGATCTATATTTTAGCCAGGCTCAGTGGTGCACACCTGTTATACCAGCAGCTCAGGAAGCTGAGAAAGGAGGATAAAAAGTTCAAACCTAGCCTCAGCAATGGTGAGGTGCTAAGTAACTGAGACCCTGTCTCTAAATAAGAAAAAAATCTCAGTGAGATGTGGCTCAGTGGTTGAGTACCACTGAGTTCAATCCTTGTTACTCCTCCCCAAAAATCTATAATTTACCTATTTCTGAGTATTCATTTTAAATATCTAAAATTTTATATACTAAACTTTGAAAGTCTGTCATCTCTACTGGCTTGAATTGAAAAGAGGAATATTATTTTTTTCTCTGTTTTACTATTCTTTAAATTTTTACTATAGCCAATATTCACTAAATTCTTAATCATTACCTTAAGAAAATTTTTCTACATTAATTCATTTGCCTGAAGGTTGAGAAAAAAACTGAAACTTATTTTTTGTCTCTCACCCCAGGGTATTTTTTTTAATACACTAATAGTCGCATGCTATTTTGTTGGAATATAAAGTCTTGTTAGATCTAGGATGTGTGTGTATTAATATTTATATGTATATGTGTATTTATGTGCATATTTTTTGGGTAAATACACTATGATATTTATACAGTGATGAGATTGCATAAGGGTGCATTTATCAACTCATGCCCATTGTTAAGAAACACTTTGAAATCAAAATTTTGAGATGAAACTTGATTCCCTGCTTCTGCTGGGATGTGGGATCTGTGTAAGTTCCTAGGCCTCTGCAGCAGAGAAGTGTTGCAGCTCTTAATGGTGGGCCATGCCCTCCTGTGCCACAGCAGGCCACAGCAGCTCACCATCAATTTCTTCTTCTTTACGGGTTCTTGTCTTTTGAGTTAGAGTAATGAAATCCACAGACCATAATGGATGAGTATAAGAGTAGCAGTTATTGATGAATAGAAGCAGGAATGGAAGGCTTGCAGTGCAAGGGGGAACCCCATAGCAGATTTTCTCCATCCGTGTGTGCTGGTCTTGGTATTTATACAACAGTTGGGTCACCGCTATTGATCCAAACTTATGAAAATTGGGGCCTGAGAAGAGTACCAATGCTATTGGTACAAACTTATGCTAATTAGGGTTTGGAAAAGTACTAACACTATTTGTCCAAATTTATGCTACTTAGAGTTTGGAAACATACCAACACTATTGGTCAACTCTTGAGTCCCTACTTTTATTCAGGTCTGTCCCATTTGTACTTTCTCCCTGTGGATTAGAAAGCCAGAAGTTGAGGTTGTTGGTCTATGATGGGAGGATCTTGGATGTCACACAATGTGGAGGAGCTTCTGCAGCAGGCCACCATACTGTTCTAAGGCCTGGCCATGGAAGGTTGACAGGTTAGTGTACCTTGGCTGACAACTCTTCAGGCCAACCAGGCTTGCATGGTGGCTCCATATGCTGGAAAGCTATGCTTGCTGCCTGCATTTCAACCCATCAGGGTGCCAATCCACTTCTAGCTCCACCTCTTGCTTTTCCAGGAGCTGAGTCAACATGTCTATATGTATAAATATTCATTATTTTTCTTCATACTCTTCTCTAAAACAATATTTAGATCCACAATATATTTTTATATAACTTCTAAAATTCCACATTGCATTCATACTTGTATGGAGATTTTAAATGATGAAAAATACAGTATTAATGGAGTTGAATATTGCAGACATCCAAATATTCACAAAGCCCCAACAGTGTAATTATATTATTATTATTATTAACTCTTCCAAAGATGATAATGTCCAGTTGAAAATATTCCACGGATTAAAGAAGTCAAATAAGAAAACAAATTGCATGTAAAAAGACATGGTAACTATAAAAGTATCTAGATTAGAAAAAAACAATCTAAATGACTAAGATAAAAAACACACAATTAAAACTAAGTTGGTTTTCTTGTCCATATGTTTTACTCAACTTTTTTTTTTGAGACCAAAAGAATTGACAAGAACAATTTTAGAGGAGGAAAGATTTATTTGGGGTTCTTGGTTTTAGAAGTCTCAGTAAATAGACAGCTGACTTTATTGTTGTGGACCCAAGGTGAGACAGAACATCATGGCAGAAAGGTATGAGGAGGCAAGCAGCTCAGGACATGGCCACCATGAACAGAGAGAGCCTTGCTTACTAGGTACAAAATATATACCCCCAAAGGCCATTTCATAGTGATCTACCTCCTTTACTCAAACCCTACCTGCTTATAGCTACTCTGCAATTAATCCATTCAAGAAGATTAATGCTCTGATTAGGTTTTGATTCTTATAACCTGGTCATTTCACCTCTAAAGATTTTTGCATTGATTTACACATGAGCTTTGGGGGGACACCTCATATCTAAGCCATAAGACTGTAGTTGAGAGAAAAGGATTTCAAATTTACCTATGTTATGACTAGTATTATTTTAAAATATAAATGGCATGACCATTTGAGCTCTTAGCTATGTGGTTAGTTTCTTAAAGTTACAAAACCACTTACATTTTGTCAATCTTTTATTATGATTTTATATATGTATTTTTCCTTTTTTACCAAAACACTTTTAAGGAGTTTACATAGTTTTTTACAAGTAACATTACCTTTCTATTGTTGCAGAGGTACTTTAAAATTTTCATAGGCTGAACAAATAGTCCTGGTTGACACTTGAGTGGTGATTCTGGAAAATGAGCAGGATTTGCTCTGGAGTTTCAGCCAATGTAGCTACAGTATACTGGACTTCCAGAATATTTATAATGGGTGAAAGACTCTCTGTGGACAATAAAAAAAAGGAGATTGCTTTATTTGATAGATTTTTTTTACTAATTTTCCTAACCCATTGTGTCCTCTATTAATGTACGGGTTTGATCCTGACATTTGAAAAATGAGAGTCCTCAATCTAATTCATTTAGCCCTGTTTTGTTTTGTTTTAATAATCAAATCTCCTCCTTGATGTGGGTCTTTATTCAGCCAGAGCAGGTGGGTTTTCCCCACTCGCTACACCTGTAGTGTACACTGGCTGTTTCCCACAGGTAAACCTGGAGGGTTTTCTGATGACTTTCTATGTTCCCATTCTATATATTGTATATGAAGAAAATCATACTGTGATTTCGCTGTCATTCTACATAAATGTGAAGGCCCTTTTTTTTCTGGGTTTAGAAGAAACAGACAGGCTACTACGTCTTTTTGAATGTGGAAATTTGCCATGAGGCATGCCAAAATTGCCTATACAATATTTACCCTTTTCCAAACATAAGTGATTCTGCCCTAATAGAATGTTCAATTGCATAGATTTTCTGCAGCAGGTTATTTTCAGTATGTTTATCCAAGCTGCATGTGGCAAGTACAGTGCAAGCTATAAAAGTATGTTATGCAAACTTGAAATATTATACATAAAATTTAACATTAAGCATAGTAGAGTTTTGCATTTTCTTATATCTTGTCCATCAACCTAATGGCTACAGAAATGGCAACTTGATTATATATGTATGTCGGCAGCAACAAAGTAAACTCCAGCTCTTCTATTGAACAGGAAAATAGCTTTATGTGTCTGTTTGAGGAGTTTTAAGGCAGTTTGCATTCCAAATGGACACTTGAGTTTAAAGGTTTTAGGATTTCAAAGATATTACTGTAAGGGTAAGTTTATGGGTTGGGCACCGGGCACTTCCCTGTGTGAATTATTGTTGATTGCCTAACCTTGCGCTGTGACTGGTGGAGCCTTGCTGGAGTGCTGTAATTCTCATGCTCGACAGGAGGCTCCGTGTTATCCAAATCCCAATGGTACTCAACTGAATTGATGAAATGACCGGGAAGGCCTAATTAAAGCTGTTCAGCTCAAATGTATTGATGTATTACATCTATTACGGCTTGGTTCAATAGGTCCACCCTGTGAATGCTGCCACAGCCTGTAAAGCAAACTAAACAGATTGAATAAATAATGCTGCAAGGAAAGGAGACAGCAACGGAATCAAAGCAACAGAGCACAAAATGCAACAGGGTGACCTGTGAACTTCTTATCACATCATCCACCTCAAATTCCTTTCATCTTTATTATTGTTACATGTTGAACACCCAAAGAAAAGAACCTTAGGATCCAAAATAATCTTTTAATTTAACACTAGACCTGTTAAATATTCTTCTCCTATAGTAAACATTGCAGGACAATGTGCATAAAATCATTGTGGTCTTGCTTAATTTTTCTTCTGAATCAATTTTTAGAACCTAGCTTTTGTCTTTGACTTCTAACTGCATTCTTTTAGGAAACTTTTAAAATAATATATACAATCTATTT